CTCAACCAGTGAGCGGACTGGTCTCTATATGGGATCCGAACCCTCAGCGGGAGCGCCACCATGCTCCCAAGTGCCGCACTCTACCGAGTGCACCACCAGGCCGGCCCAAAGAGGGGCTTTTTCAAGACCACCTAGTCTGCTCCCCATTTTATAGATGAGAAAACATTGGAAACTGTGGCTCAGAGAAGTTAAGTAATTTCTTAGGGTTTCTTCTGTTACCAAGAAGAAGAGGGTCTCCTGGATGAGATTTTTATATTCCACCATCAACATGCACCATGCTGAACTTGCTTTGCACTGTTTGCCTGATAACTCCTCCTTCTATCAAATGTAAACAAGCACCCCCATCCAGCAGACAAGAAATTAAATCTGATTCTGCTCCTGCCCTCCCCAGAGCTCAGAAAAGGTGTTTCTCCTTCAGGGTAGAAAGCATCACTGTAATGTGTCCCCTGCCAGAGCAGATTACCATCATTTAGCATCTCTAATGGCCTCAGGAAAGGAAGTTTCTGTGGCTGTTTTTTCCTCTTTGAGGAATTGACCCCCCATTTTCAAGGACAAAGGAGGGGCTACCATTCTAGGTCATGGGGTGCTTATAACTATCAGGCTTTGAAGAAAGAAAGAGGTTAGGACAAGCTTCCAGCATGACGTTTTATCTTCTTCCTGGGGTGCTGGTGACGGTTGCCATGGTGGCTGACCCACTTGGAGTTTGTGACAGGCATTTCCCTGAAGTGATGGCTGATTTCCTCAGTGAGGGAAAGGAAGCGATTCCTTGGCACTGATCAGGGAAGCTGCATCAGCTCCAAAGAAAATAACCTCAAATTCCTAACAGTACCTGCTGCATTTTTTATATTTGGGGGAGCAGAGAGGGGGAAATGCAGTTGCATCATTACAAACAGACTGCCAGATACTGTGTATCTCAGATGACTTCATCTGCCGGGAATGTTTGAATACCAGGGGCACACCTCCAGCTGCGGGCCTCAGCTCCCTTCGGGGCCTGCACGCCTGGCTTTGCGCTGGAGTGGAAAACGCTGTGTTGGAGCCCAGCTCTCCCCATTGGGGCTGCCCCTGGCTCTGTGCCTAATTGGGGAACCGGTGAGACCAGTCGCTCATTGTTTCCAACCCAGGGACTGGAAGGCAGAGCTCATTTGGCAGGCCGAGGCAGGGCAGAAGGAGATTGCCTTGGTTCCCATGTGTTTATTTTACCCAGTCTTAACGCCGGCAAAAGCAACAGGCTCTCCTGTATGTTTCAAAAGTAAAATCGTGCTTGAAGTTTTTACTTACTTCTGGAAGAGAACGAAAAGCAGAAACAGTGAAGGCATGAACTAGGCCCCAGAGAGAAAGGACCGTGTACTCTTCATGCACAGCAACATTCTAGACATACGAACATATGCGGCTGCCATGAGTGTTTGTTGAATGAATGAATGAGATCATGCCTTACTTAGCACAGACCTTTCTTGGCTGAAGTGGGTCAGCCTCTGCATTGCAAGGTGGTTGATACATATCTATACAGTGGCTGGCAGAGGGATCAGAGGCCCATTCTGAACCATTAGACCCCCAATTTCTCATTCCTTCACTGAATGAGAGAGTACCTGAGTTGTGTGGAGGGAAAGTGATGAAATCAGACTGTTTAGCATCCCCCATATCATGGAGTGTTTTAGCTTCCTTTAGCTGGCACTTGTTTGTGTCCCAGACTTTGGGGCCAGGCAGTTATCTCCTCCTACCTCTTCCAGTCCCCATTTGCATGAGGACCTTCAACTCTGGGGTAATGGGGCAATCTTTAAGTTACATACCTGCCACCAGAGAAGACGAGCTTTAAAATATAAATGTTGTTCTGGGGGAGTAGTAACTGATTTAAATTTCTGCTGAGATATGACTGAATGCAACTAGATCTTTTTTTTTGAAGGGGGATGAGGTGAGAAACAGCCCAGGAATTGGGGAAAACCTCCAGGGAAGGGAGGCTGAGGATTCAAGTCGAACTTCATCCAATTCTAGTTTTTTCCAGATGGAGACTGGAGGTCCTGTTTTAGGTGTTCAGCCCTTCAGCTTTTTATTTGGAGTCCTGGGTAGTGATTTTTTTCTTACTTCTGCAGGCTGTGCCCTATGTAATTTGTTAATTGATGGGCTTGTCTATAATAAGGCTCAGATGAATTTAGTTTAAGGCTATATTCTGCTGCTTCATGCGTACTTAACTTTAGGTGGAAGCTGAAAGGGACTCTGAACATTTAGAGAATTCTGAGGACTTTGTCAGTATTTCTGATACCACAATGGCCCATTCTACCCCCAAAGCCTGGCCTGCCTTCATGCCCAGTCCTTCTAGGCTTCTGATGAGAAGTGGCCCAGAAATTAAGAATTACATGGTCGGGGTTTAGGAATGACTTGGATTAGTCCTGGAGCTGATCAGAGAGTGTGAGGGTGCCCACAGTGAGGGTGACCCCAAATGCGGGCCCCACTTTGTTTCTCCAGATTTTGCCTAACCTGGCTCTGTCCTTGGCGTAGGAACCCGTGGCTTGTCAGAGTGACAACATGAGGCCCCTGAAGGTAGTAAAGAATCTAAGAACAAGCAGAGTTGGGGAGGACCTCCATTTTGCTCAGATTTATGGTCTGCTGTTATTTCCCTATGGGTTTTCTGAAGGACTAGCCCTCTTCTTCCTAAAGAGGTCCCATTTGACTCTGTAAACAAGGTCTTATACACAGGCACCAAATTACTGATTTTTTTCGGATGTGAACAGGTGGGCTTCCCAACACCATCTCCTTCAGCCTGGAAGAGGAGGAGGAGCTGGAAGGCAGAGGGTCAGCAGAATTCACGTGCTTCTCGGAGGACCTCGTGGCCGAGCAGCTGACCTACATGGACGCGGTACGTCTTCTCTTTGTGTCTCAGATGTGCTTCTACTTAAACATGGGGGAGTGACAGTATTGGTGGCCTGGAGAGTGCGGTGGGGCAATATGATTTAAGTCTTTTTGAATCCTTGAGAGAGGCTGTGCCTATAAATGCAGAGTTAAGATGTGACTTGAATCAATCATCTGAATGATTCAGGCCTAAGCTCTTCTTGCAAATCTGGAAGAAGGTGCTTTTCACTTGGAGCTCAAGACACAGAGGGAAGTAAGAATTCTAATCCTAGTGAAACAAAATCTACCCTGTTCCACGGGTGTTTCTCTCCCTTCAGACTCATAAATATTTCAAGATCTGAACTGTTTATTTGGAGGATTGTAAAGGGTCAAAGTATAAGTTAGGATAAAATGAATTCACTGAGTCCACATGTGACCCTATCTGGCAGCTCATTTCCACGTGTGCTTCCTGTACTTTTGAAGTTTGAATATTTTTGTTAGCTGTACATATTTGATTGTCAGTCACGTTTCTTACCTCAGTGTTAGATAGTAAGTACCAGTTTCTTTCTTTCTTTTTTTTTTTTAAAGGAGACTTTTAGGAATTATCACAATGATTTTAGCTCTTCTGTACTTAATGAGTTTTGAGAAAGCAGGAGAGTTTCCATCTAATGAGGATGCAAGTAAGGTATCAGAAGTAAATCAGATAGTCTGTATGAAGTAAATCCTGGTGTTTTTCTTTTATACAAATCCCTACACAAATTATACTGAATCATTGTACAAATGAGAATCTGATTTGTTAAAAAAACATTTGTCTTTTGGTTCCACGATGATAGCATAAGAGAAAGATGGAAAACTTTGTCGGTTATTATTTTTAGGAAAAGACCTGGAAATCAGAATCTAAATCCCTCTTTCTTCCTTCTACCGTGTGATATGGGATAGTTTTTCCTGTTGTATGCTTTTTACTTTCTTCATTTTAAAGAATGTGGAACCGTGACATTGATGGGGGGGCATGTGCTGTTCGTCTGTGAGTCACTTTCAGCAGTCAGTGAGCATCTAGTTGCATTATAGGTAGTTCATGATCATGAGTGCCCACAACGCACCTTGGGTATGATACTGAAGTTAAAATAACCATAACCACATTTATCTACCCTGGCTTTTCTTGCAAGACAGAAAATTAAAAATGTCTTTAGTCATTTAAATTTTCTTTTGGTCATTGTGTTCTATTTGCTTGGTTGAGCTGATTTAAAAAGATCACGTAGGCTTTTCTGATGCATTAATGTATTAATTATTTACTTTTGTCTATTGAAATGGACACCATGAGGCAAATCAAGTTGAAAAGGATTATTTGACTTCACAAAATACCAACGTACAGATGCCCCAGATGATGTGCTTTGCCATATAAAATGTCTCTGTTGTCTTAAAGTCAATTCCTCTTTTGTTCTAGCAACTGTTCAAGAAAGTAGTGCCTCACCACTGCCTGGGCTGCATTTGGTCTCGAAGGGATAAGAAGGAAAACAAACATTTGGCTCCTACGATCCGTGCTACCATCTCTCAGTTTAATACCCTCACCAAATGTGTTGTCAGCACCATCCTGGGGGGCAAAGAACTGAAAACTCAGCAGAGAGCCAGAATCATCGAGAAGTGGATTAACATTGCTCATGTAATTGTCTTTTCAAAATTATTCTTTGTGTTTAGTAGATATTAGAGCCTACTCCCATTACTTTGTTTAAATGGTTTAGCCATTTGGTTGGAAAGGCTGTCAAAAGACTCTATGTTGAGGGCCCATTTGGTGGTGGTGGTGGTTTTTGTTGTTCTAAAGTAAGGAAAAAAGTTGCCTTTCTTAACTTGGGAGCTTATTTATTTTTCCTCTTAAAAAAAAAAATGTTCCCCCGCTAGCTTCTTTCTGCTCGTGGGCCCCCACACTGCTGCTTTTCCAGGGAGAGACATTCTGTCTGCTTTTTCCTTTGTGTTCACCATGGGCTGTCAGTCTCTGCCCCACTTTCAGTGAATATAACCAAGGGTCTGCATGTCAAACAGACTGCTTTTCAACCCCAAATGATTACCCATGCCCCCTTCCAGTACCTGGAAGCATTACATCTTCTGCAGATTTGAAGAGCTGGTACCTTCTCAGAATCCTGAATCTCTTCTCTAAAGAACTGAAGCACTTAGGCAGATCTCACATCCATCTGAGGCCTTTCTGGGGGCCTCAGACCTGAAGTTGGAGGGAGGAATCTGTTTCTAGGCCTGAATTACATTCTGCTGTTCAGTGGCTGGTCTCTCGGTTCAGTTCTTTACATGGTATATGATTTTCATTTATCAGCATCTTATGTCATGACTGAGGAAATGTCAAAAGTATTCAGTCAATGGTTACCATATATTTTGTGAGCTCCTGATGTACTTTATGGACATAGCAGGATAGAGCACTCTCCGCCTGGGCAGTAGAGGAGTAGGGCTGTGTGAGATGAGTACTGTGAAAGTGGATGAGGGAGAAAGTACTGGTTGGGGTGATCAAGGATGGCTTCATGGATGAGGTGACATTTGAATTTAGCTTTGAATAATAGTTAGGATTTTGGGTATTTGAAGATTCGAGAAGGCATTTTTTTGTCTAAGCAGAAGAAATTACCTCAGCAAAGCAATGATTTTGCAAAAGAATTACTATGTAAATATCCTATTAGTTTTTTGTTCTGGGCTACATGGGTCAACCCTCAACCAAAACACATTTTGCTTTACATCCCACTAGATGTGTTTTTCATTAATCCCCTATCTGTAGGTCATAATGCCTAAGCCTTTCTTTTGGTGGCTGGCCTGTTACAGGGATCGAACCCTGGACCTTGGTGTCATCAGCACCACACTCCAACCCACTGAGTAACTGGCCAGCCCATCCCTAAGCCTTTCATATTCTCTTTTGTTGTCTTTGATTAAAGAGCAAGGACATAATTGTGCCAGAGAATTTGCCTTGTTTTCCTTGTTTTGAGTCTTTAGGTAGTCTGTCACCACACGATTTTTAGTATATGAAAAAAAAATGAACAAGAAACATAAGAGTATAAGTTGCATTAGTAACTTACATTTCTCTTATTCTAAATTGAGCCTATTTCTCAACAAGTAAAAGTTACAAAGGAGGTTCTGATATAGTGTTATATAGCATGGAATTTCTCCATCTTAGAATAAGAAAGTATTTCTACCATAAATGCCACAACATTTACAATCTTTTACATGTCTCCAAAGCAACTGGTCTGTCTACCCCCAATCCATTCAACTGCTTAGAAAGTCTATAGCAAGAATATCGCACCTGTGTGTATGACATAGTGTGGCTCAAACAGATGACTTTTTTTTTTTTCCTTTTTGTCTTTTTTTCGTGACCGGCAACGGATCGCAACCCTCAGTGTCGCGCCCGTACCGGACCGGGACCGGCAACGGGATCGCAACCCTCGGCGTTGCTCCCACACCTCGCTCAGCCAGTGAGCGGCCGGTCTGTATGTGGGATCCGAACCCTCGGCGGGAGTGCTGCTGCGCTTCGCAAGCGGCGCACTGTAGCACTGCGCCACCGGGCCGGCCCTCAAACAGATGACTTTTGGTACAAATTATAAGTTAGGCATTTATGTGGTAATAAGAAATACAACTTGAATAATTTGAAGTATATTCCAAATCCCATAGCATATGCGAAAAAGCCAAGTGTCCTTCCTCTTGGTGGTATAATTTCCTAATATTGAGTAGGTTGTGTCTCTGGAAATTGTGTAGGGTAACTTAATAAAATAACAAAACTCCCAGGTGGTTTCCTGCCAAGATTTATTTTACTTTTCCTACGTTCATCACAGTCAATTTCTGTTGATAGGATGTTTGAAAAATGGTCATTTTATATACAGAAAAATTGTCTGACTTAATATTACTGTGTTTTCTTGGACTGGTCCTAATGCTACATTTTTACTTTTGCATCACAAAAAAGATACCTTCTTTTCTAGAAATGGGACAAGATGCCTTTTGCACTCCTTTAAACCCCTCATTTAAACCTCTTTCTGAATAATGTGTTCCATATGTTTATTACAAATTGCGTGATATATCTGTGCCTGAGTTCCTTTATTTATTGCAAGTTTCCTGATTTTTAGAATATAGCTTTTGGATTCTGAACCTTTGCTGAACCATGCTCTCATAGGCTTGGTTTCCAGACTGCAATTCAGAGCCTTTTTTTTTTTTTTTTTTTTCTTTCTTTCTGTTTAAATAAGGGGAGGACATTGAGGCATTTGAAAGGGTGGGCATGTCTTCTGTAAAGTACTTCAGCATTTACTGTAAAGAAAATGTTTGAAGGTTTGTTTGGCATAGTTTTCGGTAGCCAGATTTTGGCATGCTAAATTAGCGAATGCTGTTTGCCCTTCGTATTCAGGATTAGCATTACTTCATGAAATGATCCTTGAAGCGATTTGCATTTACGCCCAACCACTCTGGGACCTCTCGCCCTAGATGTTCTGCACAAAGCCAAACACATGCTCACTTTGTATATTAGTTGAAACCCTGGATGTATTACACCCCCACGTGCCCGTATAAGAAGCATCTCCTATGACATAAGGCATAGTCCACTCTCCCCGTGTTGCCACCCTCTCCATGCCAGCCAAGAATGAGGCCTCTCCCTGGCTGTTTTCTGTCACTGCTATGCATCCAGCAGGACTTAGACTCCAAGGTCACTGACTGCTGATGCTATAGGCTCCCTATGGTAGCTTATGTTTAAGCAGGGAGCTTTCTTCTTACCCAGAAAATGACATCCAGAATGTTTCCTGTTCTCTTTCTATTCTGTTTTCAAACACTCCCCAAATGAATTTTATTTTAAAATTCCAAATTATTTTGGAAGCATTGAAGTACAAAGGTGTTTCTGCATGTTTATGGTTGCAGGAAAAGCCAATTTGAAATGAATGTGTATAAAAATATTCCCCGTTGGCTAAAAGCATAAAAGCCCAAGTTCAACTTGTGGTGAATTTTTATTGCCAAGTTATATACACCTCTCTGGACAAGGGTTGGTCATGAGGTGTTTGATACCATCTGACCTTGACGTGGCTGCTGCCCAGTTTGCTTTGTGGGTCTAAAGGATACAGCGATCTTTCATGTGTATTTTTAGGGTATCTGTGTGCTTTCAGCAGAAGAAAGTTGCTTTCTCTAGCATAGCTCTGTGGACTCACCTCCATTAATGTTTTTACTAGGAAAGCTGGAAACTATAAAACTGTAACAACAACACAAAAAATATGTTAAAGGGAGAAAAACAAGCATACAGTGCCAAAATCTATAAAGTGTTTCAGTGACTGGGGTGGGAGGAAGGAGCCACTTTTTGATGTTCAGTATTTATACAGCTGCCTATTTAGTGGTAAGAATTCATAGCAGCTGTGATACCTCTGCAGCAGGAAACCACCAAGTCACTGTAATATTGATATTTAAATGCCTTTTATGTTTTAATCACTCCCCATACAGGAATGTAGAATCCTGAAGAATTTTTCCTCCTTGAGGGCCATCGTTTCAGCACTGCAGTCTAATTCCATCTATCGGTTAAAAAAGGCTTGGGCTGCCGTCCCGAAGTAAGTTCCCAAGTGTCTGCTCTACTTTTCTTTGGCTGGGGTGGTTGGTTGCTGCATCAGTGCTATAGGTCCTCACCTTCAGAGCTCATATTATATAACTAGAGAAACATAGTTGAAATCCTCTGTGTTTTCCAGGTGGGATGCATTTTACTCATGATCATTAACGAGTTTTGAGGCAGGGCTGCTGCAGAAATCAAACTCCTCAA